TAGTGTGCGTGCTATCTCTTGGAAAAACTATTTTGTTGTTTTATTCAGCAGCATTTTGCTGCTACAGGCCTCAAGTAAATTCAAATGGGAAAAACTATAAAACGAGTTTTAATGCAGGTACATCTTTTGGATCTTTAGTAAGGATGTACGATCAATTGACGTGCGCATAAAATACCCAATTTCTAATAATTTAAACTAATAGTATAGTACATATATTGCATGATTTGCCCTTTATCTCAGCAAGTTCATTTCTGTAATTTTTTTGTTGCATTTTTCCTTGACAAAGTTTATCTTTATACATTTTATTTCTAGTAATTTTAACCCGACTATTTAATTTTCTAATTTGCAATGTGCGTGTGCAACGTATGTGGTTCATTGGCCCGTAATATCGATTTTCTGTATCTAAATTAATCTAGATCATTAAGAAATGCAATCATTTTATATAGGTACCTAATAGGTGCCGTTGTGTATATCTTCAAAGTTAGTACTGCTGATAAAGCCTTGATTATAACTAGCATTGCCTCCAATAAAATTTGATTTAGATGATTAGAGGATCTTCCTCCATAAATAAGTATGAATTAGGATTACAGAAAGGGGTTTTCCTTTTCGCGGTATGAAGGTTTATTTATTGAATGGGGTATATTCTCGAAGTTTTTATTGTATAAATGCATGCATATTTAATGGTTTATGAGATCTATGTTTTAAGTATGCCCATGGTAACGACAACGTTCTTTCAAATACATTACAAATAAAGCGAGGCCCATCTTTTCTTGGGCGACCATGCCGGCTTCTGTAGCCGAATTGCTTAAGCACGCTTCGTGAAGTGACGTAGGTTAAGCAACTCGAGACAACGCGGGTTCCTGGATGGGTGTCCGTATGGGAACTCGGGTGAAATAACAATGCCGAGCCCTTGGCCGAATGAATAAAAAGCTATGACTAACTAGCTTAACGGAGGATTATTCCACCTTCAACGCCAGTACGAATTGTTAGAGGACGTTTTTTGCGAAAAACGTAAAAAATTAAAAAAAACAACATATTTAAAAAAAAAAAAGAAAGTGAAACATCCGGTTCTCCTCGGTAGTTGTGAATGGCGTCGTGCGTGTGCGGAGCGCCACACGGAGGTGCGGCTGCGGACATAAGCTCACAGGGCACGTCGCGTGGGCTGTCCTGCGTACATGCTGATGGCGTGGGCTGTGCTGACAAAGGAAGTTGAAGACGAGACTACTAGAAGCTGCTAGACGAATTAAGGAAGCAAATAACAATGTAATATTATGTAATTTTGTCAGGAATTTTCCAACCCTCCGAAAAGAGGAAGTACGCTCTCATTAATGTTAAGTATTTCTCACATTTTGGGTTTGATTTTTTTTCGTGTTATAATTGGTATATATTTTTCAGGCTCGTTGCCAGTTCAAAGCAATGTTACTAGATTGTCTCTCAATATCTGCAAATTTGTCACTTTTAGTAATTTAAAACTGCTACATTTTGCATGTGTAAAATTTGCACTCCGTAATTTGGCGGGCTCACTACTACGTAATCAATAATGTGTACATGTGAATAATCAATTTTGCGATGTTCGTATCCAGTGGAGAATCACTGGCTGCGCCGTGACTAGGCTACGTCCCCAACTTCCTCCCCAACCGGCTCAGCGCGATCGGCTCGTCGCCATGCGATAATCTCTTATCAAGAGCGTTTGATATTCATGAAATGTGTACGGAAAATGAGGTCAATGAATTCTGCTGTTTAAATATGTGTATGAACGTGTTACTTTCGAGCATAACATTTCCTCGATCATCACTGCTTAATTCATTGAGTGTATGTCTGATGAATGGGAAACTGAATTGAAGTAAATTGAATTGGAAACACCAAGAACCGTCGTGGTTGCTTCCCGGCGTATTAGTTTAGAATTGGAGAACATTAGAAGTTCCCCAACAGTGAATTTGTCCGTTTATTATTTTTTTTATGTACCCTCAATCTCTCACGTGGGACCCCATCAATTTGCAAACAAAATATTTCGTCTTTCGATTCGGTCAAATTTCACACTAAATATTACTAAATTTAAAAAACGTAGTGATACTCCTAGATCTCCGACTAGACGAAGCAAACGGGAGGAAGCGATGCGTGTGAAAGGACGCATGTCAACAGTCCAGTCCGTGAGTGGCATCGTTGATTGCCAGTGCAGTTCATCGCCTATTTCGCAATATCCATACTGACGAAAAGACAAACTCGTGATGTCGCATTGAGAATGGTAATGAATCACGAGCGAAGAAAATATAAGTGCTTGTACCAGCCTCTTTTCGTCTCGAGGGACACAGGCGCGGGCATTCAGACAGAGCTTGTAGTTGCGTTGTAGCAAAGGCACGTGTACTAGAGAGTTAAGCATCCTCTCACATCACCAAATTCTGTGTCTAAGAAAGAAGATACTTTTAAAATATGTGTACTACATTTCACTAAAATATGTCGTAGGGTTATGAAAATGTTATTTTTTTCCACCTAAACTATCCAAATTTGACTCTTCATCGTAAATGTGCGCGAGTCGTCTTCTTCAATTTAATTGGATTTGAAATTGTAGATTAGTTTTGAATATTTCCTTAGTAGTTGAACTTATTCAAACAATGTTGACGGAAAAATATTTTTATATATTGTAGAAGATCATCACTTTTTAATTTATTTATTTTTACTCTAATTTGTTAATGTTTTAGTATAATACTGAATAAAAATAATTGTTTTAGAAAGTGTAGAAAATTATAGAGTTAACAAAATAATTAAACATATTAATTTGTAAAATAGTGTAATATTAATTTTGGGAATTTCAAAGGTTATTATAATACGTTTTCACATTTATGTTAATGCTTATGAACTATATTTTACTATCGTTCAGGATTCCCTTGAGTTTGTCAGGCTTGAAATGTTGATCCAGCCTTGGACACTGCTCTAGAAAAAGAAATGCCAAGAAGCGTCCAGGTTGAAATGAAAATGGTTACACCATTTGAAAAGAATTATAACCCGTGTATTGAGAAACGTTTGCAGATTCAAGCTTTATTGGTTTCGTTAAAATTGTTTAGTAGAAACATTAAATTGTAATGCTACTTGCAAAATCCGCCAGGGAGCAATGACCTCAGCCAACTTGCCTTGAGCATCGTACAAGTACGCGGACCCGAAGGCTGTTGCTTCGAGTGCCGCGTAATGTTTGCGCGTTTTCACCAAGTGATTGTACTTCTTACCCCACCTCATGTCGCTTCTGACCGTCATCTACAATCATTCTTCTCTCAAAACCCTCTCTTGATCCTCCCTGCCATCGCTCTGTGAAGGGGCAGGCGAATCACAACTTTGTTCACCTGCCCAAGGTAGAGCAGGTCGTAAAGATGTAATCCTCTTTCCTCACCTACACTCTTGGTTGGTTGGTTTGCTGGTTGGTTTGCTGGTTGGTTTGCTGGTTGGTTTGCTGGTTGGTTTATGCTGGTTGGCTTGCTGGTTAGGCTTGTGAGTTGGGCTTGCTGCGTTGGCTTGCTGGTTGGTTGACTGCGTTGGCTGCTGTTGGCTTGCTGGTTGGCTTGCTGTTGGCTGCTGTTGGCTTGCTGGTTGGCTTGCTCGTCGTTGGCTTGCTGGTTTGGCTTGTGGTGGCTTAGCTGTTGGCTTGCTGGTTTGGCTTGCTGGTTGGCTTGCTGGTTGGCTTGCTGGTTGGCTTGTTGGTTGCTTGTTGGTTGGTCTTGTTTGGTTGGCTTGTTGGTTGGATTGTGGTTGCTTGTTGGTTGCGTTTGCTGCGTGTTGGTTTGCTGGGTTCGTTTGTTGGTTGTGTATTCGGCGTGTCAACTGGCTAAGGGTATTAGATCCCGTAAGTGTAGGGGCATTTTTTTTTATTGGGACAGTTGGCCGGTATTTCTTCCCTGACACTGATGGCGAGAACCGACGGCCGACCTAGCGGGCGGCTAGAGGTTTTTTTCTCTCGACAGTTATCTCCCCACCAGAGCGGGGACACCGCCACCAGCGGGAAAGCTCTAAGGGCTCCGACTAGTCTCTCGGGATGGCCACACACACCTCAGAAATTAGCCAGTTAAATGACCGTAATGTCATACCACCCATTAAAAATCTATTTTTCTGACTAAACTTACGCACTTCTTTATTGATGAACACGCGAGTTATTTGCGATGCTCCATCTGGTAATTCAATATTGGGAGTTATGCGTAGCATATCGTAAAACAAATATGGTGCACCGGTAGAGGCCAACACGTGCCTTTATCGTTGTTAAGGTGTCAAAGAGACCTTTTTAGCGCAAACGTTTGTTCTAAGTTTTGATGATAAATGACCAGGGTGCCGAAACTGTTGCGGCGTGTGCTACTAACGCTATAATTCCATTAAGATACTCTTCAATTAGCATTGAGATAGACAAGCTACCTGCAACATGATGTAATCTCATGCAAATATAGGATTTAGCAACATATTACTGCGCCCAAATGGGAACAAATTGCACATTAATGTATTCACATGAAATTGTTATCAATGATACCAAACACAGTAGATTCCACCACGAATTTAAAACTGGATTAGATCGTCGTTTTCGACTATGACTATTGTAGCGGTAGAGTGCACTGCGCAGATAATCCACAGTGTTGTTCGTATCGCTATTACGCGTATAGTGCCCCATATGCCAGTGCAAAAGCTGGCTGAAAGTGCGGTTGGTATCGATTATTACGCGTTTGGTGCAAAAGACACTCCATTGTTCTACTGGTTTCAGAGAAGTCACTCTAAGTGGGACTAGTTTGACAGGATCGTTAAACTAAAATGACAGTATGTCGGACCAATTGTCATTTGCAGGAGGTAGTGGTTGAGCGATTTGCAATTGAGCCAATTGCAGGAAGAATGGAGTTGCATGATTAAAACTTGCAGTTATTGTTGCCCGCAGTTGGCCAAGCAGTAGCTGTCAAAGCGGTCCCTTCTTTAGAGTAATCCATGTAGCTTCCTGTGCGCTAAGAGCGGTTGTGTGTGTGTTGTGTTTGCGAAGGCCCCCGCTCAGGCAACGGGCCGTCCGTCGGCGTTCGCCCGCCCCCACTTATCCCCCCCCCGCGGATGCGGTACGCTGTGCTGGCCGCGGGGGCGGCAGCGCGGCGGACGGCCCGGCGGGCGGCGGCGGGGGGTCTGGCGGCGGCCTGGAGGGCGGCGGCGGTGCGGGCCTCGGCGCGGGCCCGCCCTCGCCCGTAAACGTCGTCACAGTCATCGTCAACAAGGACGAGAACGGCTACGGCATGAAGGTGTCCGGCGACAACCCGGTCTACGTGCAGTCCGTAAAGGGAGGTGAGTCGCTTGCCGTACCTCTTGGAAGGAGTATGATTTTAAACATCGAAACAGCCAATGTTTTATAACATCGATGTTTTGGGCTTGAAATTTTTACGTTTTTGATGTCTATTGTTAAAGGACACTCAGTCTTTCTGGCCCAGTCGGGTCCTTTATTATTTATTTACTTGTGTTTCAGTTAACTCTTAATTGTAAATTAATAATCCCACCCATTCTTAAAGTGAATTGTGTTGAACTGTAATTTAATATTAGGGCTTTACTTTACAAACAGTTAAACATCAATGGTTTTTCGCCGATGTGTCAACGTCGAAGTTTTTCTTTTGAACATTGATTATTAATAACATCGATATTGCATCACTACTTGGAAGACGAGGGTTGTCGCTTGAAAATCTGGAATTGAAGGGTTCGGGCCATAATTAAGATACGACACACCACCTACATTAAGCCTCTCGCTATTCGTAAATACTTCATCTTGTTTCTGCTCGAAAACCTTCATTAAAATCAACAAGACGTAAGTAGTAACAAGATGGGACACACTTCAATCAAAATATGTAGGTACTAACATTTACGAATAGTTGAAGCCATGGTGTGGTTGATGTGGCTTATTTGTTACTGTCACAATCTCTTCAATCTCTGGGAAGATAACATCCCTGGAAAAAGCTAGGAATATTTAGTAAACCAACTGGAAAAAATATGAAAATAATCATTTGATATTATTTTAAAAAAATCTTCATTGGTTAAAAGAATATTGCTATGCTTTTATACTGTGATTTAAATGTAAGGTGAATAGCCAACGATCAGCAAGGACTCGATTATTAAATCGGGAGCTCCGATTCAACGTAAATTTTGGAATCTGAAGCTCCCGATTGGATAACCGTGTCCCAGGTAATCAAAAGTCACTCCACGGTATATTTAAAGCAAATACTTTTTTGCGTTAATTCAATTCACAATTTCAAGTTACATAATGGAATTATAATCAAAATAATAAATTTTGATCCTTTTTCATTTCGTCGGGCCATAATTTGTAGCTAATTAGATACAGCGATAAGTTACATTGATCAATATTTGGATTTCAAAAGTTTATATACCTACTTGATAAAATTAGGAACCTGAACACCAAGTAAAGTTAAGTTGTAAACAGTAGAAAAATAGTCTGAAAAAAATTTTCAAATGTAAAATTAATGAGAATAAATAATGAATGAAATACAATTAATGACTTATTTAGATTTTTCGTTTTTATCCGAAAAAACTTTAAGTACTCTTCTAAGGAGTCTTACACAATGAATGACCGTTGACTTAGCTTTGGCTTTGGCACTTAGCTTTGGCTTCAGATTATCAGGCTTAGGAATAGAATCTTATTTTCACACCAGAAAATAATTTTGAGATAAATATTACGATCACATTGATGGATACTATTGTTAAAGAAGGAAAAATTAATAAAAGTAAACAGAAAATTGGGTTTGTGTGGAATGAATCTTTTGGGTTGTTATCACTTTGTTAGTGCTAAACGTGCATGACATTATATTCCGAAATGGACCATAGTATTTGCATTAATACGACTGGAAAAACCGTGGCTTCACAACTTGGATGCTTGTTGCTTTTATTAATTGAAAATTGTAACAATTCTGTTAAACACCTTTGAGTAACGCATATTATTGGATTCTATCTTTTAAACATTGTGAAATGTGAAACAGTCAACTCCGTGAATAGAGTTATATCGAATTTATATATAATTGTTAATCACTAGAAAGGTTCGAATAGTAAGCATTTCGAAATAATTTTAATTTACTTTTTTAAGAAGTATACATTTTGTTTTATAATCTTCATTTAAAGGGAGAATTTTGTCCCGGCAATTTTCATGTTACCCGCGATTCCAATATAATTAGTAAGGTCTAATTCAATGTAAACTTTGAACAGTTGAGAACAAGTCAGGACTTCAGACTAGTATTTCATTATTTGCTTCCAACACTCAATGTTCCAACGCTTTGAGGAAATATCAAACAATATTTTACGAAAAGCTTTGACTTTTTAACCAAGTGTAGTAGTAATGGTATCAAGTGAAATTTCATACTGATATATCACTCTTGCGGGAATGCAGTCCACAACGATAAGGTTGGCGGGAAATTTCAAGGCAGAAAATCGCTTTTATCTTGCCGAGTTATTCAATTTATCTGACAGAGATACGAATTGCCGTAATAGATCAGTAGCTGTTCTGAAATCAGTATAACTTCGCATTGGGTAGCGAACGGCAGATATTTAAGTGCGTCAAAATGTTTGATTTTAATGTTTATGAAGTAAAGTTATGTATAATTTTCGTATGAGGTCAAGTGAAAGGAATGCTAATGTATCTGTGACTCCTCGCTCACAAGTATCTATTTATGGTAGCTGTTGCTATCGAGATAAACACAAAGTGGAAAGGCGATTCACGAGAATGTATTGAAATATGTCTTCAGTGTGATAACGATTATTGGATTCGAAGGCTTCCGCGGCCGAAGTCATACGATATTTGGCTATCCCGGATAATCCGCGTCATAGTTGGTTGAGATGACGTTAGCTGAGGTATATACCTGGAGAAGGCCACAACATGATGGTCGAAACGACAACTCGACCGACTGTGTTGCGTCTCATCCCGGACAGCAAAGTATCGATAACGATTAATGACCAGTGTTGTTATGTTCTTATTTTATTTCAATTAGGTTGCATCTTTCGGTGATACATAAATTAAAGAAATGTTTTATTAATTTTTAATGAAATGAAAAAAAATACAAATCAGATGTAAAAATGTTTCTCTTAACATCACTAATAATTACTTTCTTTTCAGTTTCGACGTCCAAGCCACGAATACCTGTGAAAGCGTTTTGAGTTATTTTCGAATGTCGTCGACTGTGTACTATGACTTGAAAGAAAATATTAAAGAAAAAAAACTTACAGGAAGAAGTTCCACCGAGCTTATTTGATCATTAATTAGTTTTGATCATTAACGCGTTTGAGTTCGTAAACATCGGTTCTAAGAGACACTGAACTGCGTCGCACTCCATTTCCATTTTATTGAGCACCGTCGGTATTCACTTCTCAGTCCCATGTTGTATTAAGAAAGTCGCCGGTTTCTTCTGTAGTATATAAAGTGGATTTTCTTATCGGCGATAGTCGACATTGGTGTTATTTGGAATCATCATTAGCTCGAGCGTGTGAACATTATGAAATTAGAGGATTCGTGGACTATCTGTTCTGCAGAGCGTTCCTCTGCGAGAGGACAACAGAAACATTAGTTCATCTTACTGTTAAGAACACTGTGATATTTTTTACACCCGAAATGACTCCTCCTATATGTGGCCCCTTCTTCCCTTTTAATGCAAGATCTTCTCTAACGCGTTGTTGTGTGTTCGGCAGGTGGCGCGGCGGAGAAGGCGGGCCTGCACAGCGGGGACAAGATCATCAAGGTAAGAAAAATCATCAAAGTAAGAATGCGCCGACACCCGGAGCAACATCATATGTTTCTCTGTTCAATGCGTATAATGGGAGCGGTAGACTCTTCCTTTGGGATTTTCTGAGAAATACATTTGCGTATTTACGTGTTCTTGCGAACACGGTCGAATTTTCCAAATCGACAAACTTCCAGATTGACTTGATTTATTCAGCCGAACTGAGCCAGTCAACATGGCGGCAGAAACTATATTCGATAGTTTATAAACCAGAAGGTTAGTGGAAGGCCTCCGATTCGAGGTACTACAACTAGAACATCAGAAGGAAATTAAGACGAAAAATTCATGAAATGGGTGGCTGATAGTATCTAACAAGCTTGCATCCAAACACATTAACGCGAAAGGAATCAGTTTCCTAGAAACCCGTTTCTCGTGACATACCGGACATACACTATGTGATCAAAAGTATCCGATCACTTTGGTTGAAAATAACTTACCTCTTCGTGGCGCCCTCCATCGGTTTGCTGGAATTCAATAGGGTTTTGGCCCACCCATAGCCTTGAAGACAGCTTCCACTCTCGCAGGCATACTTTCAATCAGCTGCTGGAAGGGTTCTTTGGGAATGGCAGCCCATTCTTCACGGTGTGCTGCACTGATCAGAGGTATCGATGTACGTCGGTGAGTCCTGGCACGAATTCGGCGTTCCAAAACATCCCAAATGTGTTCGATAGGAGTCTAGTCAGGACTCTGCGCTGGCCACTCCATTACAGGCATGTTGTTGTCGTGTAACCACTCCGCCACAGGCCGTGCAGTGTGAACAGGTGCTCGATCGAGTGTAAAGATCCAATCGCCATCTCCGAATTGCTCTTCAACAATGGGAAGCAAGAATTTTTCAAAATATCAACGTAGGCCTGTGCCGTGATGGTGTCACACAAAACAACAAGGGGTGCAAGCCCCTCCATGAAAAGCTCATGAGATCACCGTTACTCCATTTTGGACGTGTCTGGATACTTTTGATCACAGAGTGTAGCTCTCTGGGAACAGTTATAACATTTTCGCTTGCATTAGATGTGCCCCACAGATAATGGCTTGAAGACGAATGCCTGACTCAATCGATTTCAGTGTGGCCACTATCATTCGACAGAATCATCCAATCGTGTGCGCCAGAACTTTTCGGCCGAACGGGGGTCCTCTATGACTGTCCCCTTAGCAGTAATTTGCGTTTTCATTGAATATTTCGATGAAAACTCAAATTTAATCACAGCAAATACTTACAAACAACGATAACCAAAACAAGTACAAAATAAACTGACAATAAAATACAAACTTCATTTGTTAGTAGTGACTCTCATTTCATGGTCCAAAAATGCAAATACAAAGATAATACAAAGACAAAATAAACTTACAGCAACATCTAAATATTGTTTTGCAATGTTGATACATTTGTTACTTTATTACCCAAACATAAGTAATATTAACGAAGTTTTGATGTCGATAATGCATATTCGAGTTTCAAAGTTTAAATCCGGGGGAAGGTGGTCATCCTTGGACGCACCGTGTATACATATTTGACAGTGCTGAATGAACTTTAGATTGGCTGTTCAAATAATAAAAATTAGTATTTCATATGAAAATATTCCTCAATTACCTCCCCATCCAAAAGAGCAACAAAAAACTAATAAACACCCAAATGTTCACTGTGCGTTTAAACAATTTTATTTCAACCTTGCGACATTCCACACGAACGATTATGGCTTCTTTTTTGTGTATGCTATGTGACACAAGCAACCGATGTATGTGGAAAATAGCAAACATACGCAGGCATTCATTTCTCGTATGTGGCAGCAAGCAAGCAGTTTCGTTTTCGTGTACGTCTAAAAAAATCTTGTTGATTTGATTTCTCTGAAAATATTCGCCTTCGTTTGCTTGAAGTGCGCGTACTATTACTTGCCGTATCTTCTTTCAGAGAAATTTAATTTGTAATTTGTACGGTAACGTATTTTTGTCAGTTCATGATGTATATTCGTCCCCTTGTGTGGTCTGTTCTCTATAAATCGGACTTCGGACGGCGCGTCATAGTAATGTAAAGAAAGTTCTTCAATTCACCCAATAAAAAAAGGACAAAAACTACGTCTTTTCTGGTTCACATTGTCGTTTACTTATAACGAAATTTTTGTTTTTGTTTTTTTATTTATGCTGCTTTTTACACTTGTTCTGAGTGAAATTTTATTTACTAACGCAGCCCTGTCGTGTCCACAGGTCAACGGAGTTAACGTAACTCAGTCAACACACACTGACGTCGTGGCGCTCATCAAATGTAAGTCACAGTTGTGGTGCTTTTATCTTTACGTCCCGAGCAAACAATTGGAGTTTGTTCGACGGCTGCGTTTAGGTGCTGCGTCTTAAGGAAACGGAGCATCAATTAAAGGCTCGCTATCTCTGTGAATGGAAGCAGGCTTATCTCAGCCTGTCGCGGGAATGAGACAATATGATTTTACTGGATTAAGGGTGGATGGGATTGTCTCAACCGAGTTGGCTTTTAAGCGAAAACAATTTAATTGTTTGGACTATCTACAGCCCGCTTTTGTTAATAGGCGGCCCGCGGGCCACATCCGGCTTGCAAAGGTATTTGTGTTGGTCCGCAATAAAACAACAATGGATAAAACATAAATAAGAATTTTAATGTTCCATGAACTAGTCTCTGTGCTTCGGGGCAATTGTTAATTGTGGTAATGGTTGGGTCCATTAAGTTCTAATAATCAATTTTCTAAATATTTAGAATATTGGCACACTTCCTTCTTAATATTATTATTAGTAGCCTTTCGTAATATGTAATAGAGAAGTCATTACATGATGAACATCATTGAGCGGCAGCAATTTAGAAATTCCAGGCGTAACTGTTGAGCAAATTCAACGCGTTTTGATGCGTTGGTTGGGAGTAGAATGAGGCATAAGAAGGAGACTCGCTGATCAGCAAGCTTTCGATCGCAGAACTGAAACTGTTGAAAACAACAGAATTGAAAATGTTGGAAAACACATTTCGATGTTTTCTACACTTGGAGATAGTTGTACACAGGACGAATCTAAATTCTGCCTTCGAAGTACACGACTCGTGATGAGAAATACGAAAAGAAATGATGGTTTTGAACGTATGTGCACTTTATTCGCTTAATACACTTAATGTACCTCATTATTTTCCCAGTTGATGACCCCAAATTCTCCTGCGCGCGACTTGTCTTTCAAATGTGCTGTTTGGCATCGATGAGGATTACCTTCCTCACGAGTACTGTTTTCGTGCTACAGTATGCTTCGACGTAAGAACGGAAGGCATCGTTTTGAATTTTTTGAAGAAAGAAAAAAAAAGTGTTTTCGGGTACATGCTTATAGGATCTCTTTTCCCCTCACATGAAATCAAGATTCGCATGTCCTGAAGTTTTGTCCATAGTTGAGCTTCACTCTAAAGTTATTCGTATATATAAACAATCGTCCAAGAAATATTTTTACACTAGTGGAGAGATGGTGAATGCCTACTTTGTGCCGAAATTGGAAGGAAATGGTTGAAAAATATGCATACTCTTCAAAAATAAGCGTCTCGCCGTGAAGCCATTTTGGTAAAGTAGACTGGAAATGTGTCTCAAAATTTTCATCTAAGAAAGAAAACTCAAAGATGTTTTGTCCCAATGAACCCGGAATGAAAAAATATATACTTACATAATGCAATACTTATCTCTCGGATATCTCAAGAGTTGACTCAATTAGTCATCGTTTTCTGCCAGTTAAAAAGAAAAATTGCCTCGCGCATTCACATTTTATTTCACAACCTTTCATTTGAAATGTGCTGTGAATAAAAAAAAATATGTGACAGACCACGTAAAATTATTCAAAGGGAAGTTGTAGGAATGGTGGTTCTTTCTCGGTAATTCTCGTTTTATGACTATTAGAAAATATGAAACCGCATTGTTCTAGATTGATATTATGTGATATCAATTATCTTTATATTATTCCCCGCCAAACCGCCTTCCTTCTTCCTTCTCTTAATCTAAATCTTAAGCAGAAATACTCATATAAACATTTCCATAGAGTTTGTTTTTAGTTCGCGATCAGTGGTTGTAATTTCTGAATAGAAGTTGTTACAAAATTCCTTTCAAGAATAATCTTATCTTGAATAATGAACTCATCCCACGCATCCCTCTGAACCACTTTTCGTTCATATAACTTTGTTGTTTGTGTAAATATGAATTGGTGTATGAAACCTCTTGATGGAATCCATTTCACAGCTAGGAATTGGTAAACGTGAACTAAGCAATCTGACATGAATCACCGCTACTTTTCCTCATTGTCTGGAACAGTAATTTATTTGTGTATGGCGAAACACTTGAAGACCAGTAAACCTTCGACAATCGCCTTGGCGTATCTTGACTATAATCAGAAACAGTTCGTTCTAGTGTTCTTCGAACATGTTACATTTGTACCTCTGGGTTATCAATCGTTATCAGGAAAATAAAACAATTCTTCCAAAGTGGCCTACTGTCTGGCAGACGGTCCTTTGTAATTGTAATCCTGTCAGTGTGTTTGTAATAGGTTAAGCTTATTGAGAGAGAAATTAACATGTAGAAAATACAATTTTAAGAGGAAAAATTGACGGTAATAAATAGAGTTCGATAATTAATAAAGTTGGACGGTAATAAATAAATCCGTAGGTCGTACATATTCTGTATGGTAATCCGTACTCAAAATCACGAACAACAAGTGGTCTTCATTCACTATATCCCTTTCATGAGCCCCATTTATTCTCAGATAGGGAACACCATATTCTCCAAGTTTTAAATGTAGAGAGCTCCATATTTGCAGGTATGGAACATACCTTATGTATAGTCATGTATGGAACTTCGTACTAAAATAAATCTCTAGATAAGAGAGCTCTTTTAGTATTAAATTTATACCTTAAATTCTCCTCTCCATAGTAACCGGGGGAGGCTAGAGTTAATTTTTTTTATTTTGGTGTACATTGAGTAATTGCAGCGTAAGTAGAGGGCTATTCTTAATGAAGAACTAAAATCAATTTAATTTTAGCTTAATCAAATTGAACTAATACAATATATGCTAATTTATCCTCTTTGGCACATGTAATTTGAACTTATTTTTCCTTCTTAGTACCAAGTAATCTTGTGTTCATTACGCATGAGTAGGGCCACAATCAAACAATCGTTGTTTAGTCAAAATCGAAACTACTTGTTTTTGGATTTTTCCGTGTTCTGGAGTATCTAATGAAACCATAGACCTCTTTCGCATGAACGGAGGTTGCATAGATTGTTTAAAAAACTTTAGTTTGGCGTGATCCTGTATGCGAATTGACTGGGCATGGAGGGTGCCGAGATCGAATTTCACCAGTGACGCAAAAATGTGAAAATTTTTTAAACGCTTTAAGGGGTGGGGTATTGAATTTTGAGTTGCAACAATTCAATGCGCCAGAATAACACGTTTAAAAAAGTAGTGTTTGTCGCTTAATCATTATTACGTGAATAAAATATGATATCAATTTCGAGTATCTGCCTATGCGTGAACTCGCACATAGAACGATCAGTGTTGAACCCAAGGCCTTCCTTTCATGCTTCCTGTTGACGAGCAGTTCCGGAGTTTGAGCGAAGGCATCTGGGGCACGGTGGAACCCCAGGCGAGCCGCTGCGCATGCGCGTGTACGCTACAAATCCGGAATCGCTCGTCGAAAGAAAGCGTGCGATTTGAATGTAAGGCAGGAGGTCACGGTCGAGCCGATTTTGACTCAAGTTTCTTGACGTCCGACGTCGGAGGGACGAAACCAAACGAAGCAGATCTTCGTCCGATGTCCGATGTCTTCAGACACCGTCGGAAGAGGTCATTCGGGTTCACTATGACCTCCGTCTATCATCACTTTTTTTTTTGAACAACGTCTGACGTCGGCTGACCGGAATTCCTGGCAAAATCTGATCCTCTGTGACGAGCGCCACCTTACGCCTCGTAACTACGTGCGTTCTAGGGATCCGACTTCGAGGGCGATGATTTTATAAAATAATCTGTGGTTTTAACACAAAGTGCTTGAAGCCTATGTTGATGTTTTGTGCCAATTTTTTTTAAAATTGTTCATATTTTATTTTTTAATGGAAAAGGTTCCATTATAATAAAAACCTATTATTTTCTGATATTAATGAATTGAACATTCTTCAGACCAATGTGCTAAAGAGGAAGAATCATCAAAATCGAGTTTTCGTTTTTGATAAATGAAATCTTTTAAGTCTTTGAAAGCTTTTTATTATCCAATCAGACATTTGTTTATGTTAAATGTCCTGGTCATTTTATCACTGCATTTTTTAATTACATTTCTATTAAACCTTTTAACTACTACTCCCACGTGAACATGAATTGTCACCAATGCAGTTTTTAAAACATCGATGGTTTTGAGGCGATGTTTTATTCTCATCGATGTTTTAATCTTGAACATCGATGTTTTAATTTTCAACATCGATGTTTAGAAATATCGACGTTTTGTTGGCAATGACCCTGCCGTAGTGCGTTCCGGTTTCCACTATAAATTGGGAACCACCCACGTCTTTTCTCGCGAATCTTAATTTATCATTCTGTATGTAAATTAGGAACCAAACCAACACGGATAGAGAAAAGGCTGATGGAGTAGGTAAGCGCCTTAAGGGGGGCCGTCGCCGCCCACAGTTTTTTCTTGTGCCTTATTGAAAACATTCTAGACTCGTTTCTATTTCAAAACCAAACCAATGAGGCACTAGAAGAGTACCCAAATTTAATGTTCTGCGTTCTACAATATTTGCTAACAAAAAGAAAGAATATAAAAAGTAAAAAAAGCAGAATTAATCCAACTGAATAAAACCAATTTTAACCAAACCATATTTCGAAAGAAATATGCCAGATCTAAGATTGGAAAATTGTAAAGAGTTATGTTTTAAAAATAATGGCTGGCATGAAAATGTTCTTCGAAACTGAAGTGTCAACTGGTAGGTGATGGTATTCGGCCGCCAATTTACGTATGTCCTTCTCTGGGCCGGCCCCTAATTTACTACGTGGGTTAAAATCTTCATTTCCTTCTAGTCCGCAATTTACATACGCCGGCGTTCCGCTGCCCAGAGAGGCAGAGCTACGAATGTGCGAGCTACTGCGTGCGTTTCCGGCCGGTGCGGCGCGGCGCGGCGTACGCCGTCGAGGGGGCCGTGGCGTCCGGCGCGGACGGACGGGGCCGTGTTTCGCGAACGTGGAAAGCGGTGCGGCGGCAGGGCGCGCGCTCTCGCTGGCGGGCGCATCTTATCTTATCTG